GTGAGCGGAGTTGATCTGGAAGGGTGGCAAAGATACAGCCTTCATCTACAGCCAGGAGATGGAAGGAGTGGAATAGGGGCTAGAGGCTTTCCAGGGAGGGAAACAGTAATGCAGGAGGACGGAATCACCAGCGTGCTGAGGGAGCTGAGCAGTGAGAGCAGAGAGCCCAATGGGGCAGAGAGCGGCAGGAAGAGATGTGGCTGCAGTAGAAGGCGAGGCCGAATTTGGAAGCCAGCCGAGGACGTGGCCTGTTCAAGAACATTAAAAAGGATGCACAATAAGTTTCTTTCTTAGAGCACCAGGTAATAACAATAGGATGACCGAGTGGGAGGCTGGTGGTAAGCAGCAGGACCAGCCGTGGGGGCATCAGGCGAGTGCAGGCACGTGGGGCCCAGCACCGCATACTCAGAAGGCTTTGTAATAGGGATTGAAGGCTTTGTGGTTGCTGCCCTGATAGAAAAAGATAATGATAACTTGAACAATGGCTTATATGCAGTGAGCTTGCTGCCTCTGCTCATGTGCATCCGTCTCCTGCCACCCGCTGCCTCCTGGGGTTCCCAGCCACCTGCTTCCCTGGCCTCTGACCTCGTGGGAAACACTCAGCCTATTCTGCCCCCTTCTGGCATTGCATCCCTACACCTCCTCCTGGCTTCCTCATTTCCATGACCCGGGTAAGGGCATGGAGGTGGGGAGGTCAGGGGCAAATGCCTCAGTGCATTTTGGAGCCGTACAGGGCAGCCAGGGTCACTGCTCTGAGTTGGAAGCGGCATGACGTGTTCAGCAGACATCAGATGTGGTGAGCTTCTTGCTCACCCCCAATCCAGGTGCCAGGCGGGCCTCATTGTGGAAGTTGGAGTCTCTTGAAGGTCATTTATCCACTGTAGGTTGGTGAGGAGGCTGAGGAAGAAGGGGAGACGCCTAGCTTGACTTCCCTGCCCCTGGCTGGGGCACAGCTCCTTCCGTATTCCCAGTGGCATAGGGTCTGTGGTGGGTGGGAGGAGGGACCCAGCAGCTGATGGGGGAAATGAATGTGTATGCCCTCAGGGGGGTTGGCTGGGGGGGCTGGGCACCTGTGAGGGTCAGCATTGGGCCCTGGGAAACATGATGTTAAAAAGCAAATCTAAAACACCATGGTAAGTCAAGAGAGAGACCATGGAAGAAAGAAACATGCTTTATATTTTAGTACCTTTAAAGGTGCATTTTCATGTTGCATTGGGCCCCATGCATTATGTAGCTGACCCTAGGAGGGAACTGGCTGTGCTGTTGCTGTGGTCCAGGCAGGGCCCAGAGTCAGAGGAGCCGAATGATATCTTCTCAGTCTGCATTAGGTCTCGTGAATCTCACCGACTCGGTTCCTACGCTACTTCAAGAATGCTATTATGCACGTTGGGTTATATTTAGATGTTCTTAGTCACTTCACCTTCTAAATGGTGTGCTTCTTCAGAGCAGGAGGTTATCTTTCTGACTAAAGAAGCCAGGAGCTCAGCCTTCAAAGAGAACAAAATAATGAGTCCTGAAGAAGGGGTATTGAATAACAGAAGAGTAAAAATAATGAAGGACCTCATGGAGAAGTGTGTTTGTGTGTGTGTGTGTGTGTGCATGTCTGTTGGTTTAGGAAATACGTGTAATCTAACAGTGGGTCAGTGGAATTGGGGAAGGTCTTGCCTCCCTTGTGTGAGAAGTCTATATTCTGTTTTTGTCCTGATGGTAGGTACCTACTCAGGGAACAAGTCGGGATAATTAAGATGTTAATGATCATGTTTCAGTCTGTACCTCTTGCGGTTTAAGAGAAGGTCCCCTGCAGGAGTGCTGACAATATGGACTCCATCTTTGGCCCTCCATCTTGTTTATGCCCATGTGATGACCTCCTGCTGGCCTACATGTGCCAGGGCCTGTGGAGGTGAATGTGGGCCCTCCCTGGCATGTTGGAAGGCTTGTGCTGATCTTCCGAAAGATGCCTGGTGCACAGAAGGCCCTGTCTCAGTTAACAAGTGGAGAGTCTCTGGCACCCAGATGGCACCACGTTAGATAACTGCCCTGTGACCCCACCACCCTACCCCTTGCTCCATAAAAGTTCGGGATTAAGGTCTGGATTGGGCTGGAAGGTAGCCATATGCTGCCTCCATCATCTGTCTGCCCGCTCATGAAAGTAAGTTACCGTGAAAAAACTGTGTAAATTATATGGAGTGCTGTGTCTCTTTTGTCTTAAAGTGCCTTCTCAGTCTGGAGGATACTTTATGGACCCACTCGCCCCTTCTTACAGTCCACATAGCTTGAAAATAAGTTTATGTTTTAAAATTTTTTTAATGTTTATTTATTTTTAAGAGAGAGAGGGAGAGAATGTGTGTGTGTGAGCAAAGGAGAGGCAGAGAGAAAAGGAGACAGATACTGAAGCAGGCTCCAGGCTCTGAGCTGTCAGCACAGAGTCCAAAGCTGGGCTCGAACCCACGAACTATGAGATCATAATCTGAGCCAAAGTCAGAGCTTAAGTGACTGAGCCACCCAGGCGCCCTGAAAAAAGTTAATATTTGAGGAGCTTCTGGGAGGGAAATGTTTGCTGGCTTCACAGTGTATCCAAAAAAAAAAAAAAAAAAAACCCACCAAAAAAAAGAGGAAAAAAA